AATTGCAATGTTTTTTAGTCGACGTTTCGTTTTTATTTTGAGAGTTTCTTACGTTTTTGGATCTAAGGTCAAAGGGGAATTCTTACGAAATTTTCAAGATCAAAGAGGACTTCGACTTGAGATTTCCTGGTGCCAACTCGTGCCGAGCCCTTTTACATATAACCAACTTTTGCTAAGACATTTTTCATCAGGCACTTCATTGTTACAGCATTACGGTAAGAGTAATAAACATTCGGAGCTCATATTGGGGTTCTAAAAAAATTTATGGAAGGCCGCTTCTCAGATTTTCAAGCGGTAACCCGATAAGGTTATGTGACGGCACTGTCCCTGGAAGTTCATGTCTATTCCAAAAACTCATTTTTCTATTAGAAAAATTTAGTGAGCTTATTTTGCTTCATTCGCAGCTAAGAAACCAGCGTTTGAAGAACTGCGTTTTTTTATCAGAAAGGCAGCTGACGAAGAGATATTGCTAAACTCCGGTTTTTCACATCCTCTCTGCATTTTTTGCGAATTTTATTTGATCGAGTTTTTTTTTTCTAAAACGCTTATATTGCCGCGCCATTCTAAACAAATCCCGCTTTGAAGCCACTAGGAAAGTCTCACGTTCGTATTCCGACAAATGTTGAGTTGCAGAATCACATAACTTCGATTCCAATGCAAGACTTTATTACGACCTATAGCACGAAAAAAGAACGAATAGGCTTTTTCCTTGTGTATGTTTGTCACTGCAAAAAAAATCGAAAACAGAAAATGCAAGTTGGAAGATTAAGCTATGTGAAAATATGCTACTACCAAAAAAGGGAGATCAGCTAAAAAACGACAATTGACAGATCTCAATCGAGTAAAGCTTATTTAGCTGTGATAACAGGAAAAATATTAAACATCTAAAATAATTGAAAAAGACAGTCCCCAGCCACGGTGTTATGATATGTAACACGTCTGGATCACCCATCTAAGCACATGTGAAACCTTCCCTCTCGAAAATAGCTATAAGGAGTACAAAACCGTTA